AAGTTGCTTATAAGCTAAAAGTTGAGGAGAACAGAGTTCTACGGATCCTTATCAATTCAGTGTTATGTGGATTTAGACAACCTAACTATGCACTTTAGCACGCTTGGATGCTGGCAAATTGGACGAGCCAGCTACATTTGCCTCACAACTTCCGGCAACTTCAGTCTCGTGAGCTTTATGTTTCTCTCCCACATCCTGAGAATTTTCCCCTGCTGATTTCCCTCCTGTTTCGCAATTGTCAACTGGTACTCCTGAATCATCTTTAGAGGGAGCATTTCCAACTGCATCCGTGAACTCCTTTAATGGGTTCTCAGTTGCAGAAGAAGTCCCCTTGAGCAAGTCCATACCCGACTTACACTGCTTCTCAAACATCATCTGAAGGTAACGCCCTTGTTCTTCTATTCGAAGTTGCAGATTTCTTTGAATCTGCAGAAGGATAATTAGAAATTAATGTATGAAGGGAATAACCAAAACTGCTAGTCACCTCGGAAATTTAATCCTTAATTTGCCTTTGAATATGTACATTAAAATGCCAGTCGTAAAATCTTGACAAAGCTGCAGCATTTTCAGAAGGTTGCAGATTTGATAATAGGGGTCTTATCGAACAAGACAGTAACCGTGCACCCTTAAGATATTTTACTATGCACGAATTGAATGATAGTTGAAACAAGATCCCTCAGCAAATTGTAAGACATGACAATAATACAAGACTGCATTAGTATATATTTAGCCCTTGTTTGAGCCCCATTTTTTCCATCAAAATGCATTCTTCTACAGTGATACTCATTTCAACCACACATTCTTCAATAAAATAATATTACGCCTAAATCCATAATTTTTCTTTATCTTTTAACCATACATTATCCATCATAACACTATTGCAAAATGCATTTTTTGAAAAAAAAAAAAAATGGGTCTCAAACAACCCCTTATATATATATATCTGGATTTCTGCAATATTTGTAGCAATTGATCCAGCTCACCGTAAGAAGCATGAATAATCAATGTATCAATTAGTAAATGTTGCATCTGCCACATACCACTTGGGAACATAATAAATGGTTTAACCCATATTATATATCGCCTTCAAGTTAGAACCAAAATGCTGTATGAATTCATACCTCAAGCTGCTCATGAAGCTGCTTTTGGACTTCCATTTGCATTCTCAAAGCTTCAGTGATCTCAATGCCCCTATTTGAAAACAAGCATGCACACAATCAGCAACAAAACGTAGAGGATATAGCAAACGAAAAAGAAATTCAGTTCAGTTACAAATGTACCCACATCATTGCAATTTTTCTAAGATATTAAACTTCAAAATATTTGACAAGTTCCTCCATTCTTGTTGAAACCACAATTATATTTGCTAGTTTCAGATTATCCACACACGTCACAGGTTAATCTTCCAGCTGCTAACATGTTTGTGAATACTATGTGACTTTAGAACAACAGACAGCCATATTTTCTAAGAAATTACTTAATCAAAATGTATAATTCTGTGTCATAGATCAGCACCGTCCTCCTTCACTCTCCTTTCAGGAATTGAAGGTCTATTAATCCTATTATCTTGACAAAATCTAAGAGAGATTAATATTTATCTATCATCCATGTTATTCTATGAGAATAACTGAGAGAAGAACCCCATAGAGCAAAGATATGAAGTGTGGTTGTCAATGTTTGGTCACCGGTGGAAATGCAGAAGGTAGGGCAAACAATCACACAATAGAAAGAAGAAATGAGGCACATCTCTTTTCAAAAATTAAAAGAAGCTGGGTGTAGAAAAGGAGGTTCATCATCCTACAAACACGGGCAAAGCCAGAAAATCAGAAGAGGAGACCACTTAAAGGGAACATATTTAAACTAAGAGCTACATTGAAAATATTAAATATCGTGCTCAGAGGTTCAGATACAAATGATTCTCCAAATCCAAAATCTACATCAACTGCAAGACATGAACTTAAGTAAAAGAAGTAACTTACGTTTTCATGTCTAGAGATGACAGATCTTCAATAGAGGTCAGTTTTTTTTCTGAAGATTCTGCAAACGAATAAATAGGTTTCTTAAGTGACGACAAAGATTACTCTTCATATGTATCATAAACATATAGCATATCTGAGAAGCCAATGGCAATCATGAACCAGAGACATCATTGAAGAAGGTCTGTTCATGATTAATGCTAAGTGAAATGGTGAAAAGAAAGATTTGTTCATGGTGCAGGCAATGCATTAAAGTTCAAGAGTAATGAAGGGAAAGAATTTTGAATTTAATTTTTTTGTGGCGAACTTTTCTTTAGTATTGTAGCAGCATAAATATACGAAGTGTTGTAATATACTCAATTCTAACTTTAATATCTAAGTATGTGATATTCACTATTTAAGTTATTATATGACAATACATATAATAGGTCATATATGTATCGAAATTAGTCACAATGACAATTCCAATAGATAGAACTATAAATGGCATTTACACTGATTGACATTAATTACTGTGTATAAAAACTATAAACTTCTGCACATAAAATGGAGTTGGCTCTGATGAAATTTTATTACTTGTTGGAGATTATGAACTTATAGAATTAAATATTAGAGCACTGACTGCAATATGAAACTATATAAATCAAAATATAAAAATTATAGCAAGTGCACACCTTCTGTCGTCTCTGGTTTGTATCTAGCTGTTCGGTATTTCTGCAGTTCAGGAAAAAGATTCCAAACTGAGCAGACAGAGATCCACCAATGCAGGTTAAGAAAAAGGTCATGACACAAGAATACAACAAACCTGTAGGTGGCTTTTTACGTGATAGATGGTCAAACCTTCAGCTTTCATTAGCTTTAGGACACCCTTAGGAGTGGCTCCTGTGGTCAATAATAGATTGAATGATGTGAGTGGCTGCCAGATATTTTATACCAAATGACTTTTAAGTGGTAAGGGAAGAGTTACTTTCACTTCCACCAAGCTTGTTGACTGCCTCCACAAAGGCTTCATGAAGTTCTGGTGTCCAACGCATTCGTTGCTTGGTTTGAGCACAATTTGCGGAAGATGATTGAGCAACAGCTGTGCAAGTTTCTCCAGGTGTAGCTGGAAGCTGATTATTGGGATGCTGTACTGAGAAATTTGTTGACAGATTGGACATGTGATGATGTACCTGCATTAACAGAACAAGGATCAAGAAACCAGTCAATTCATTCTCTATTGTAAACCAAACCAAAAAAAAAAGGAATTGTAAGAAGATATGGACAAATAAAGAAAATAACATCAACCTTTGGTTCTGGAATTGCAATACTTGCATCAGCAAGGAGATCATTCAAGTCAGTAGTCAAAGCACCATTATCAGTGATAAGCTGGTCAGCCCATTCCTGCCAATCATTATGTTTAGTAAGATCCTCAGATGGAATGGCAATGCCACCATAGTTGCTCCTTTCTAGTTGATTATTCTGGATAGAGGTACTTCTTGGATAATCAAGACAATCAGGCAGTGTATCTGTACACCAAGAATTGTTTTCTTCCTTGTTATAGTGACTTGATGCTGTGGATCGAGGAACTTCAGAATCAACAGCATCAGGCAATATAAGTGAAGTCCCACTGTTAGTTGATTGGGATATGAGATGAGATTTTCTTGGATGGTCTTCTTGTTGCAGGACAGATGAAAAATGAAGATCAGTAGAAAACCCCGAGGATGAAGAAAATAAATGGCCAACTACCCCACTGTTGGAAGACATTGGTGAAATGACAGCTGGAGAATGTTGCATGAGTTCCCTCTCCATGGAGACCTGATGGGAGTCTGGTAGAATAGGATATCTTTCTCCCGAAGGAGTTGGCAGTACAGGAAAAGAAGAAGGCATAGTCCCAGAAACGCCAAAGTTACTAAGTTGTCTTGCACCTGATCTTTGAATAGATAAAGAAGGCTTTGCATTCATCTTGACTTGTGTGTATAAATAGCAACTTCAGCTGACGTTCTACAAAGCTAGCTCAGTTTCTCCGGTCACCTGTGGAACCTATACCACAAGAATAAGCACCAAATTCATATCTCAAATAGGAATTCGAATGACGTATATTTGCCCAATCAACAAAATGCGTAGAAAGAATCACCCAGAACATTAATCTATTCTCAAGTTGCAGAAAATAGACATTTGCGACAAGTCAAGCAAGGAATTTTTTTCCTTGTGATGATGAAGAAATGAACTTATGTCCAATTCTTCTCATAGTTCCAACAAAATAACCAGATTTTGAACCTTATTCGTTGTAGCCAAATAAAAACAGCCTCTTGGAACAAATTCATTTACTCACAAGTCACAACCTCGATTGATCTAAAGAGATTTAGTTTGGGCGCTCCTTTGCTCTTAACAAAAATTAACCCCGTTCTATCTACAATTACACTTCAGGCTCTAGAGCATGGAAAACCTATCAAGAAGCTTTTCTGCAGTCTTCAGAATTCAAAATCAGGGTAATGCAAACATTATTTTTCTATAGATGTGTTCACAGCCTTGCCAGAATTTTTTGAGGGTCAAAATGCTGAATGCAGTATAAGCTCAACTCCATGTCTTGAGTATGAATGAGAGCTTCTATCATATGCTCCTACGGCACTCTGACCACACTACAGGTGAGAGCTTCTATACTACTAGCAACAAAATCAGTCATCTCGTTCTCTCCCCAGAGATAACAGCAGAACCACGAACCATACACTAGACAAGGTGAGATTCATCTAATTGTTTAACATTTGCCCTTGTAGACCTCGAAATTCACCTAAAATGAATGTAAGGCTTAATGACGCCTAAAGTTTGAAATCTGGAATGAAAGATAATGGAAGAACAAGTGGAAACGCACGTGAGAAAATATTTTAACTCATTGACAAGCATCATACTAATGATGAGAATTCATTTAATGAAGTTCTCGTCTATTCTATAACTCTACATTAGGATAAACTGCATAAAGCTCTTATCTTTACCAAAAAAATGCCAACCTCATATGATCACAGCAACTCAACAGGCCTGAAAGCAAAATTAATTATAAAAAACCTTAAATAAAATTAATTATAGGCAGGCATGCATAAAACAAAAGGAGAAAACATACTCACAAAAGAAAATGAAAAAAAAATATATATATATAATTCAATCCTCCCTTAACAAAAATAAAAATTCGAAGCGTTCTAAAAAATACACACGTGCAGATAAAAGCCATAAACTTAAAGAGTCCAATCAATATTAATCAACAACCCCTTGAAAAGATAACAAAGAATCGACGTGGGTCATCTTTGAAAAAATCTACCAATTATAATTACAGAAATTGCAATTTTGCATTCATATCAAAAGGGTATAGAAATTCTTACCTAAAATCAATCACTCAATGAGATTTGAACAGCTCCTCATCAAATTCTTGTGCAGTTGTGCGATTAAAAAATCTAAGGCACACGCCCATATTAGTTGATCATAGATATACATACATATGCGTATAAAAATAGATATACACGCTAGTGTGTGTCCTTTGTGGAATTCTAACTGGTGTATGGGGAATTCCGTCACCGGCGAGTGCCCAAAAGAATTGAACAGCCTTTCTTTGCCTCTTCTGTTTGGGTTTGGCTAATATTTATACTCCGGGTAAACTCGAAAAACGCGAGTCAATTAGAGCGTATACAACACGTGTGGTTTTGCTACTCTTAATTATATTTAGATAAATTTGTAGTGGAGGTCTCGAATCCTTTTAAATAGTGTAGATAGATTCCAACACTTTGAATCATAGTAGATACGTCCCAAAGTTTCAAAAAATATTCGATAGAATGATATATGGATGATTTCCATCCAAAATTCGTCACTTGACAAAAAAAATCAAGCATATTACCATAATTTCACCATTTTTCAAAAACGCAAAATAGTCTTTTAACATTTCATTAATTTATATCGAAATTTCAAACCTTCCGATAATGTGCAATGCGATTCCAACTACTTAATATATATAACGTTCATTTATCTATATTTATGTATTGATTCTCAATTCTTTAAAGATTGTTGATGGGAGTAAGAAGTTGAGTTGATGGGATAGGGAGAATGTGATAGGTGGAGGTGGAGGTGGAGGTGAAGGAAATGAAACATCTATGATTGATGACACTACTATGGTTGCACTGCAGGAGGCGGCGGCTATTGTAAGGCTCACCAACTAAGGCAACTGAGGTTTGTTCCACAAGCGATGTTGGAGGGTTAGAAATTGAGGTGGATGGATAAGGGAAGATGGATATTTTTTTGTTAATTGGCAGATTTTTTTGAAATCATTAAATGTACTTTCGGTGCACATTTATTAAAGGTTTGAAATCGCGTTGTACATTGTTGAAATGTTGAGGACATTCCATGTAAATTTTTCTTCATACTTTAATTAATTAAATGTTAAAAGATCACTTTAACCTTCTTAAAATTAATCAAAGTATTATTAAACTCTTGACTTTTGGTTAACTAACAATTTTTTAAATAGAAACCGTCCACTGATCCTTCTATATCAAATTTTTAAAAAAGTTTAGAACGTATATGTTACGGTTTAAAATTTTGGGACCTATCTATACTATTTGAAGGTTTGGAATCCCTGTTGTAAATTTTTCTTATATTTTTTAATTGTCATTTCTCAAGAAAAAATCATAATTTGTTTGAGCCCCAATTTTTTTTTCAAAAAACTGCATTTTATAATAGTGTTATGATGGGAAATGTGTGATTAAAAAATAAGGAAAAGATTTAGATTGACGTATAAAAATATATGGTTGAAATGATGTCAAATCACTGTTTAATAATACATTTTAATGGAAAGAATGGACTCGAACAAGGGCTTGATGTATAATTAACTATATATTTCTATTTAATTTTGAAGTTACAATCATTTTTTGTGGAAAATGGAGTTTTGAATAGTAATTTTTAGGAAAAAGTGTGGTTAAAAAGTAACTATTTTTTTATTTAATTGTGAAATATTTTATTGTATAAATGTGTAGTTGAAAATGAGTACGAAAAAAAAAGAGTTTTAAAAAAAAAAATTGTAGTGAAACAAGGACTTAGTGTGTGTCATGTTGGCAGGTCCCATTTGATTGGGTTGTGAGAATACACTCCAAGGGTATGCAATTGGGGGTTCAAGAATTTTAATTTTTTAATATATATTATAAAAAGATTATGCCCTTTCAGTTGGCCAAAGGGACAACTGGGACGCCACCAGATCCTTTTCTGGGTTCGCACAAATCTGGTTCCTATTCAAGAGCAAAAAGTGGGTTGTACACGTTTCACTTAGGTAATGGGCTGTTATCCTTAACAATATAAAAGAGCCACTTTTCTGTCCTGCAGACGTCTCGCAATTACCTATCATCAACCATTATGGCGTCGTTTTTGCCCGTTTTCATTTCATTCTCAAAATCCAGCAATGAAACTGTCAAACTGAAGTAGGCTCCGAAATCTTTTAGCTTCTCTTTCGCTTCTCAACCTCCGAGAAATCGCATGAAAAATAGCAGCAAGAAGTAGAAGAACAATAAGGCATCAGAGATCCAACCACTGGAGATGATATTCGAAATTTACAGATTGAGCTTTTAGTATATTTTTTTTGTGAATTTCTATGAATGAATAATGAAATTAATGATGAATTTTCAAGGAGTTGTTGGGAATGAATTCTGTGAATTTTGATTCACAAAAAAAAATCTAGGCCATGTCTCCATGCGTGCACTTTTTTTTTTTTTTTTTTACATTGAGATACATAATGCATTCTTTTATTAGGCTAAAATTCTTCGAAAGGTTGTGAAGAGAAATGAAATAAGATGAATAAATTCGAGAGAGATTCTCTTTCTTTTTTTAATTAGATTAGGTTATAATTGATAACTATATTGTAATAAGATATATGTGAAATTCTTTTTCTATATTTCATCACTACAATATAAAAGGAGCAAAACACTTTGTAACACATGTGGCGTTGTCCCCGGACCCCACGCCCCCTCGACCCCGCAACCTGACCGGTCAGGTCGATCATCTCCAGGGGCGTTGCCCCCGGACCCCAGGAGGGGGCGCTGCCCCTCAACCCCCGCGATCTGACAAGTGAGATCAATCACCGTCGGTGGCGTTGCCCCAAACTCATGAGATGGCTTAATATGCGAATTAATTGGCTTTGAAATTGAGAAAGCAATCGAATTTTATTGGTTTGAAGTTTCATGATCTCTAGATGGGGGTTATGCTACCTACCAAGTTTTATTGGTTTCAACTTTTATCAATCGAGTTTTATTTTTCTTTTTAACTTTCAAGTTTTATTGAAGAAGTTTTGCTAAATAAGATTTAATTAGTGATATTTTCAAAAATAATCAAAAATCAGTCAACACTATTACATAGCCAATTATACTATGTCACGTGCTTTGCACGTTCGCTCACTAGTTATTTCATGAAAAATATAACAATGGGTTGTCGTAGAGCATGCTATTTTGGGTAATTAATTAAGTGAAAAAATTCATAAATAAGAGGTTAAATTTCACACATTTCAAATTTAAGAATCTAAGGTTTAAAATTTCAAATATTAGATTTTTTTTAATTTTTTTAATTAATTAATTAATCAATTAAACATATATTTTATTAATTAAATATATTAAAATCACAATTCCATATAATTTGATCACAAATTATAAATTAATTGACCACAAATTATTTCTCGATCACAATAAAAAAATTTATAAATCAAAAATTATTTCACAGTCACAAATCAAAAATTTTATAAGTCACAATTTTTTCATCGGTCATAAATTTATAAAATTAATAAGTCACATATTATTCATTGATCACAAATCACAAATTTTATATATCACAAATTATTTTAACGTCACAATTCAAAAAATTTATAGGTCTCAATTTGTTCATCAGTCACAAATCAGAAATTGAAATGTCACTATTTATTTATAGGTCACAAATCACAAATATTATAAGTCACAACTTATTACACAATCACAAATTATCGGTCACACATTATTTTTTTTACCACAATTTATCTTTTTCATTGATCGAATATTGTTTATCGGTCACAGATTATTCAATTTAATAGTCACAAACAACCAAATAATCTATTACCACCAACACTTATGACTACCACCTCACCACTGGCACCAACAGCATGGCAACCGGAACCCCGTCATCGGAACCACCACCTCCAAACAGCAAACCATCATCTAAGGGGAGTGTATTCAATTGAAATTTTTAATAACTTTATGGAATTTGAAAATTTTAGGGGTATTCAATATAAATTTTTGGAGATTCTCTAAAAGTATTGGTATATTCAATTGAGACTTTTATAAACTTTTAAAAAGTCTCTAAAAGTTACGATGTATTCAATTAAAACTTTTTAGACAATTTTTTATGATTTTTAGAGATTTTTATAAAAAAATTTATAGTACTAACTTTTAAACAGAATGTACTCAAATAAAATTTCAAAATTTGTCTCTCATTAATCATAAGATTTAGGAGACTTTCACAGAAAAAAAAAAACAAATTAATATGTATTTTTTTCAAATTTTCCCTTTCATTTTCCCTTCTACAAACATTAGAGTTATGATTAAATTTTATTTTTTTCTATTGATCGTATTAGTTTCTATGTTTTATTTTTCTCTCTCTTATTGTTTATTTCTACGTTCTATTAAAAAAAAAATTAAATTGTATTTTTATAAAAAAAAAATTCATTCATTTTTTCTGAAAAATATATATTTTTAATTAAATTATAAAATTTTATATAGATTAATTTGTAATTAAATTAAATTATTTTTTATCTATTCTTTAAAGGTATATTATATTAATAATACTGAATATTAAATTTATTTTTTATATGTATAATAATTATTATTTATTTAATTAAGGTCTTAAATTTTTAGTTTTTAAAAAATATTTTTTTATTATATGGGGGGAAAGAAAGGATATGGGGAATTTTGAGGACCATCACCTCGTATAATAATTTCACAATATTGAACTAGATTCACATAAATTTTATCTCACACGAAAGTTTTCAAAAGTCTTTGGAAATCTACAAAAATCTCTAAAAGTTTTTAAAGTTTACAAAAGACTTCCACTAATTCCATACATATCTTTAAAAAGTCCACGAAATCACACAGAAGTCATCACTTTAAAAAGTTTATCAAAAATTTCAAAAGTCCCTATTCAATACACTCCCCTAAAAATACCGACATCACCACGACCACTTCTACCCACCCACAACCACCATACCACCACCACCACTACCATAGAACATCCACCACCACCCATCCTACAACCCCAAAAAAAAAAAATCCCCAACCCTACCATCATTGCTGTCATCGTCGTCGACCATCACCAACACTACCACCGTAATGACCACCAATCCACAAACACAACAATAGCCAGTCACCATCATCTCCATCACAGCCACCACCACACACAACACCACACCACTCACCCAAACACCCAACCACCGCACTACCACCTCCGCACACTGCACCACCCACAGCACACCACCACCACCATTTACACAATCCTACACGTCACAGCAGATAGAAAATGGAGAAGGACAGGAGAGGAAGAGCAGTGCACCACCACCACCACCACCATTTACACAGCCACACACGTCGTGTCAGATAACAAATGGAAAACGGGATGAGGGAATGGAGAGTGAGAGCAGCAACAACACAGGTTCCACTTCGAGCTGAGCGAACGTTGCGGCGCTACACGACGATCGTGTGCACCGGTGCGCCGATTGTGTGCAGCTACCGTGTGCCCAAACCAGTTGCGGTCGTCGGAGCAACCTTCTTTTACTTGTTGACGTCGGAGCCACCGAAGAGAGAGAGAGAGAGAGAGAGAGAGAGAGAGAGAGAAGAGACGTGGGTAATGATTTGGGATTTTTAGGGTTTGGGTAGTATTTAAGATTTGAATTAATATCTAATTTTTTATAAATAAATTTTAAGTCTGATTTTTGGAATTGAATCTTTAAAATTCTGGTTGTGTGTAATTTCCACATTAATTAATTCGTTGGATTTAATTAGATAGCAATGGGCCGACCCGACCCTTAGACTTTTGAGTTCGACTCATGTTTACAAATTATGTTCGGCTCGATTATTTAGCTTGTGGGTCTCATGGCTTGAGTTGAATTGTCGACGAGCTCACTAACTTGTTTTTTAAAGAGATTAATAAAGCGAACCGACCCACGAACTCAAAATAATTTGGATAGTGGGTTTGTGAAAAAATTTGAGCTCGAGTTGATCCATAGCTCATCCCAATACAAACTCAAGCTACCTATGGATTGAATCGAGATGGACCGAGCCCATGATCCAACAAGTGGTTCAACACATTTGCCACCCCTAAATGTAGCAAAATTGACGAATTATTTGAAAAACGAAAAATAACTAAAAAGGGTTGGGAAGAAAAATTAATTGTGAGCAATTACCCAAATTTATTTGTTCATGAAAAATAATGAAATTAGGCCATATCTTTGCTTTTCACCAAAAGTGGACATTACAAGGATAGTCCTTTGCATTGACGAGTCCTTGTGAAAAATATAAATTTATCTTGTATTTTAACTATCGTGAAATATAATTTTTTAGCGTAGTCTATTGAAACTAACACATTATCTGATAATCACATAATATGCACACCTCACATAGCTACAGGTGCACACTGGCGTACATGCACGCGCACACATTTGAAAATTTACAAAACAAGTCGATAATATTAGAATCTCAAATGGAACATCACAAAGTGCATATATATACTTATACCACACCCACAAAGCACTTGCACTAGCGTAGTGATTGGGATATTATCCTTATTGAACAAATATTGCTTAGATTTTAAGAAACATAGTACAAAGAATTTGGAAGCTTGAATGTTCTTTTGGCCTTTGGATTTCCATCAAAACTGCTCCATTGATCACCAACGATTCCCCAGATATTGTGCCCCTCCTTAACCAACTTTTGTCTAGCTTCTGCTTTGTAGTGTTGTACTCTTCTGTTTTCATCACTCAGGTCCCTATTCCAAGTCAAAATAGCACAATTAAATTAAAAGAACATATGTACCCTATAACATCCATTAGTCACCACGATCTTATCGCTTAATAGCTCCCCTTCCCTCGAAATCCCGTTTCACAGTTTAGGCTAGCTGCTCCTATTTTACTTGTCGTCATTACGGGAATCGCTTTTACTTTTTTTTCTCTTACTACTAAGATGTTTCAGTTCGTCCGTTGGATATAGAATTAGAGTGAGTTGTGAAATGTATTTAGAATCGATATCGCCTCATTTAAAAGCTTGTGTTAGAAAATAAACAAATTTTATCTTCAACATGTCTATTTATATTGACTAAATTTATATTCAAATGTCTAGCGCGATGATCGACATGACTTGGTTCTACTCATATCATGTTGAAATATTTCATTTAAAAGAATAAAAGTTAATTTCTCAATTAAAATAAATAATTGGGAAAAACAAGAAAGAAAATATTGTTGGAAAATGTACCTTAATATAAGACCAGACCACCCATGATATCCAACCTTGATAAGGTTGTCTACAGTAGCATCTCTTAAGGATTCTCTTCTAGTTGAAATCAAGAAAATCTTAAAGCCTCTCCCTTTAATCTTGTGGAACAATCTGAGTGTAGGATCAAGAGCTGGTGCTTTGCAATTCTCCATCCAGCCTTCCAATGATGTAAGATTCAGTTTCTTCCCCCTAAAACACGCGTGATCAACACAATTAACAGTTACAACTTGAGGACAACATAATTGAATTCTCATAAACAATAATATTTTGTATGGGGTTATAGGTGTCAAAGTGGGGTGCACAGTATTAAGACTTAGGTTTTCACCTTGAAAGATTAACATTATTAAGGAGAGTGGTCCAAGTTTTTTTCATCGTTATTCGAAATGAGATTCATCCATTAACATTCCCTCACAAGAAAGTGGCCCGATTGAGCAAATCAATCTTAGAATCCGTGTGGTTGTTTTGATTTTAATCAGATCAAATTGCTCATTAGAATTTAATGGATTATGATACTATATTAAGAGTTTGTTTGGGAGGGATTTTTGGGGGAAGAATTGATTTTAAATAGTGATATAATAGGAAATGTGTTGTTGAAAAAGAAGAAAAAATTATTGATGTGATGGAAAATAGTATATTATTGAAAAATGTGTGGTTGAAAATGAGAATTGATTTACTGTAGAAAAATTTAAATCTCTCCCAAACAGGGCCTAAATTTCAAAGTTATTGATGTGATGGAAAAGATTATTTTATTGAAGAATGTGTGGTTGAAAATGAGAATTGATTTACTGTAGAAAAATCTAAATCCCTCCCAAACAGGGACTAAGATTTGAAGTTTACTCTTAAAAGATCAACCTTATTAAGATGAGTAATCCAAATTTTTATATGTTAATTTATATTTTCATCTTTGTTCGAGTGGAATTTTTCCCCTAACACACAGTCCATGCCTGTGTGGGCCAGTATGCCTTGCTCGGCCCCACCTCAAACAGCCTCGCTGTGACAAGCCGAGCAAACAATGGCGAACTGGGCTCAAACCAACTAGTCACAAGACCGAGTCGAGTCCAGCATGAGCCATCCCGAGCCTTTTCGCACCAATCCATGCTTGTTTTGTTGTGCCTTTTAAGTGTTTATAAATTGTGGATTTCGTAAAATGTGTAAAAAATTTATATCCTACAAAATGTGCGAATAAAAAGTAAGTTTGACCCACTTAAATTATAATTTAAGCGTTCCCAAACATGCTCAGATTAAAGCAAAACACAAAGGAAGAGAGAGAGGAGTTACCCAAATCCATGACTCTTGAAGTATGGCACAGTGGACAACAATGTGTCATCAACATCAAAGATCCAAGCATCTTTCCCTTCACCACCTTTCACAGAATCACAGCAACTACTCAAATACACTTCACATTCTTCAATTGCCCTCTCACAATCTGCCTTGTACTGACTTGAACTCATATATTTTCCTATGTAACCTATGCATTCTTGAGGGACAACCTCAAATCCTCTTATGTTGTTCAACTCAACATTAATCCTCCAACTCTCACAGTATTTCTTCAAACCAGAACCAGAAACAACATTGTTTTTCTTCCTTTGATGAAGAATGTTCCAATCTGCCACTGCTGAGCAAATCAACAGGCTTGTTACAGCTAACAGAAAAAAGTGTTTTCTTGCCATGTGAATATTGACAGGAGAGAGATCTGAGAAATATTTACCTAATTTTAAGAATATTGTCTTGGGGTACCTAATGATTGCTCACATGGGCTGTGGGGTGTGTTATGTCCCGTCTTTATTCATAATTGGTTAGGTTTAATCAAGCATGAGCTTAAGAGCTTTAGCACTAAAATATTCAGAATTTAATTTTGCCACTGATTGCGGTAGGCTGATGTACTAATTGCCAAAAATCTATACTTTTCGTTACAAAATCCGAAAAGATGATTATTTTGTGAAAGAATTTCAAGGCTTGTAAAAAAGGTGAAGATGAGCTTTTGAAATTTATCGAATAATTGGAGACAACATAAGGCTTGAAGTTTTGTGAACAAAGATATCTAATAGGTTAAATCAAACTCGCGTGCTTACTAACGCCAATTATTGTAGTCTCTTTAATTCGGTGGGATTTTCTTTATTATTCGGAACATATAAACTTGTGTAAGACAATTTCGTCGTTCTTTCTTGATTGATTATACAAAATTTCAAATTCTCTTCCAATAGAGATGTCTACCCGATAGTGTGTTGAATCAATGACAATTGATTAAGATGTTCATATTTTCTCATTATTTACATTGCGTCAATTGGTGTTAAAGACAATCAATTCGATCCTAAACATTCCTCCCTGAAACAAACCAGCGGCTCATTATAAAAAATAGGTGTTGTCAAGCGCGTTGGGTAATTTGGGCGTGTAACCGATCCAAGCGATCAAGTTGGGAGGTCTAACAATGGTTGCAATGGGAATTCTAGCATTGGAAAGGAGCTATGTCAACGAGCCGAGCCCGAGTCCAAAAAAAAAAAGCTAGAGCTCGGCTCGAGCTTTTTGGGCCCGAGCCGAGCCCGGCCAAAAAAATGAGACCCGGGCCGAGCCGGCTCGGGTTTTTTTTTTTATCCAAACTTGGAGAATATGGATAACATGCGATTGTATTTTGTACAAGAAAAATGAGAATGTCATCATCTATAGTATAATCGGATTGTAAAATTCTTTATTATCGATGTTTGGTGAGGATTAACTTTTTACATAAAATAGCTAAGAACGATCTCTTAGAATGTTAATTAAGGAGATAAACTTTGTTAGATTATTTTCATCTATTTCTTCATGCTCGATTATGTCTCACTTTCAAATTAATTGACAACGGGGAGATAGAATTCGTAACCTCCCTCGCTAGCCTACAACATAGCATAAAAATGGTTTATTGAAAATTAGTTATAAATTAGTGAGTCAAAGTTTAGATGGTAAATGATTTAATAAGCACCCGTACTTAGTTTATGCCAAACATCAATGTTATTATACATCAATTAATTGATAACTAATAAATTTAATTCAAATATTGAGATTTATCATAAAAATCTATATGCCATATCATCAGTTAAGCAAATCATTCTTCATGTTTAGATATCAATTAGGTGAGCCTCTTTTCCTTGGTTTGCCATTTCATCAGTTAAGCAAATCATTCTTCATGTTTAGATATCATTTAGGTGAGCCTCTTTTCCTTGGTTTTTTTCCTTTCCATTTAATTATTTATTGTATTTTGCTTACACCAAACTTCTCCTTCCCCAGTGAAGGGTTTCTCTCCTCCCGTCGGTGAGGATTTTGTCCCCTTCCTCGGGCGTCCTCAGTGTAGGATAGTTCCTTGGTGAAGGTTTTCTTCCCCCTTTCCTCTCCTACCTCTCTCTCTATTCTAACCCCAACCCTAATCCCTCGCGAGCTCGACGGGGGGGTGGGAGTTTCGGCTCCCACCTCTCCCTTTTTCCCTCCCCTTCTGGTTTTCCTTTTGTTTTTTTTTCGGTTGCCTGTGGTCCGTTGTGTTGTGGCAGGCATGTTTTGGGCGGTGTCGTGGTTTGGACCACTAGCTTTGGGTGGTTGTTTTTCGCGGTGATCTGGTCGGTGAGAGGGGTGTGTGAGTTTCGGCTTGCGGTCTCTTGAGGTCGGAGATGGCGAAGACTTCTGCTGTTGGGCTTGGCCGGCGGGCCCTTTTGGCTGGGTTCCAGCGGTGGCCGTGGGTTGGAGTATGGGGGTGTGATGTGTGTGTGTTGTTTTCGTTGGTGGGGATTTGGTGGTGGTTGTTTGTTCGTAGCTCTGTTTGTTGTTTGTTTGGTTTTAGTTAGTTGGGTGTTGTTGATTTGTGGTGTTGTTTGTTGTGGGGCGGTGTTTGCTGTTTGTTTGTTTGGATGGTGTTGGGTTTTGGTTTGGTTGTTGGTGGTGTTGGTGTGTTTTGTGCTGGCTGTGGAATCTGGGTTCACTGTTGAGACTCTTTCCATTAGAGTGCTCTCCCACTCTCCGGTGGGGTTTGAAGTATTAGACAATGCTCATTACTTTGTTGCGGGGGTGTTTAAGTGCTGATTGCGTTAATTGACTTATAGTCGGGTTTTCAGTCTATTTAGTCACATTTGTTACTTCGCTGCGGGCCTCTTCCACTTTCGCCCTTTGTTGTTGGGCTTTGGTGTCATTTGGTTGTGTTATTGTTGTTAATTGTTTAGTTGGTTTTGTTGTTGTTTAGTTTGTCTTTGTTTTCACTTTTGTTGTAGCTTTGGGGTTTTCCCCATTGTATCAACTGTTTGCTATTTTAATGCATTTAGAATTCAAAAAAAAAAAAAAAATTATCATTTTTTTCAATTATATTTTTGGTCTACCTATGCTAATTAAAAAAAATAAAAAATTTATACGAGCCGGACACGGGCCCGAGCCTCGGCTTTGTGCAACCGAGCCCACGAGCTTTTTTGTCATCCCTAGAAAGGAGGGCGGCTAAGGTTCCTGCGGGTTGCCATCATCGTCGGGAAGGAACCAGAAGCGGCATATGATGGTGGCAGTGGTGGTCATGGTTCGGGCTCGATCTGGCATTGTTCCAGAGACCAATGAATATCCTTGAGGCCCTCTTCATGCAGGGAGACAAGTGGTGGCTGAACTACATGAGAATCACCCATTGTGATTTTATTTATTCCGAGCTGAAGTGGCTGATTGAGGTTTTTTTCCCTCGCGTGGTGAATGTGAAGAAAAAAGTTGTCCACTATGCTTACATTGGGACTCTCCATGTTTTCATATCTATAGAAGTCAGTTATGCTGATGACTTCTTAGGGTTTCTCATTTAGAAATTGGTAAGACCATTGTAATCCTTAAACTTGATCCTAATTTGAGAGATATTTTTTATGAACAATAACTGAAGATAGAACCAAAAAAAAGGCTCTCAGATCAGATTAAATATTTTATCGACTTAATTATTTATAACAAATCGGATCGGATTGACACATAATCATATTTGATCCATTTAGTTAACGGATTATCGGATTCAGGTCTTAAGCAGGTTATTGGACTAAGACTTTGAATCAATCTCCCATTAATTTCATCGGATTCGGATCAAAATACAATCCACTGACCGACATAATTGCCACAGAGACCAATGAATATCCTTTAGGCCATCTTCATCCAGGGAGACAAGTGGTGGCTGAACTATATGGGAATCACCCATTGTGATTTTACCCTAATAAGGATCAAAAAAAAAAAAGAATTGTAAGTTGTAACGTTGCCCACTCCTTCCAAGAAGGTTGCACGGAAATAAATCACGATGTTACATGACATGATATGGGAAAATGCTATTTTAACGAAACCTAGAAAATGAAATGCAGTGAAAAGGGTTAATTTCACAAATGGTCACTGAAGTTACAGCAAAATTACAAAACGGTCACTAAAGTTCGAAAGTTGCAGAAACGGTCATTCAACTTTCAGGCGGTTTCAGAAATGATCACTGAGCTAAGTTTTAGGACTTTTATGTTCTAATTGAAACCTAAAGCACCAAAACACGATCACTTAAAAGCTGGAGGACCTCAACTTCAAAATTCATATAAAATCCACCCTCCAAGCTCACCTCCAAGCTCCAGGACGACTCCTCCAAGCTCTAGATTTAATTCCGGCCGATTGGGGGTTCAATTGGAGGGCCAGATTTATATTCAAAATTGTGTTTAATGATTCCTTTTCTGTTGAGTCGAACCCAACCGCCCAATTGAAGAAAAATGTGAAAATGATGAGGCAACGACGAAATTTTGGTGGGTGAATGAAAACTTGGAAACTATGGAGTTGCAAGAACTTGAAGAACTTGAAGAGAAATTGAACAAACTAAGAGAGAACGTTTCGAATCAAGGAGGGGAGATGGAAAAACAAATTCCTTCAGTTTCTTGGTCGCTGATTCTAGTTCCACAAGATGGTTTTAACGAAGATTTTTACGTTGTATGAATTTTGGGCTATGCATTGACTTAGGATTACATAGTATTGGGCGAATATATAAAGTTCTGGTGTGAGTGATGATAATGGTTTGTGCATTCAAGCTCAAAGTGGCTGCCAAAAAATCTGGGAAGACCAAATTCAGATCCAAATTCGTTTTGATTGGAGTCAAATTGGGGGAGACCCATGGCTGGGCTAGATGCACCAGGTGAGGGCGCACCCAGCCCAGGCGGTGCGCCACCTTGGTTCATCGGAACGGCGTTGGAATTCGATGTGGACCAGTACGTTGTCGCAAGCTTCGCGACTGAGTTTTTCTGGGCAAAATTCGAGTTGTTGAGTTGTTGTTTGGGATGAATTGAATCCATAGTTGAGGTCATCTATGTGTGGGCTTTCTATCAGTGGTGAGCTCTAGTCGTGGGGGTGGCCGGAAGTGGTGTTTCCGGCGTTTTTCAGATTTTTTGGCAGCTCACTTTAAGCTTGATTTTCGGCCAAATTACTTGATGAAATTGAGAGGGGTTAGTTGGTAGTTGATGGGGGGGGGTTAAAGGCTTTCCAATGGTATCCAAATCCGGCGGTTTGGGGCTTGGCGTAGAACGGTGGAGCTTGGAGGAGGAGTCCCATAGATGGAGCTTGGAGGAGAGCTTGGATGTGGATTTTAGATGAATTTTGAAGTTGAGGTCCTCCAACTTTTAAGTGATTGTGTTTTGGTGCTTTGGGTTTCAATTAGAACATAAAAGTCCTAAAACTTACCTCAATGACCATTTCTGAAATCGCCTGAAAGTTGAATGACCGTTTCTGCAACTTTCGAACTTCAGTGACCATTTTGTAATTTTGCTGTAACTTCAGTGGCCATTTGTGAAATTAACCCGCAGTGAAAATGTTGGATAGAACCTTATATTTAATTCAAAAAATTATTTATTATTAGTTCGTGCTTTAATCATATTAGAAATGATATTTGACCTAACTTAACCTAACAAAACCGACTTGTTAGGAGAGGATTGCCCTCATCCTATTAAGTGGATCTTGTAAATATCACCAGCCAATGTGGAATTCTAATACGTTCCATCACGCACAACGCGGATCATGTCAAACAACTATGAACAAATCGATATTGGGTGCACCCAATATTGTAAAATTGGGTCTGCTCTGATACCATATTAGAAAGGATATCGGGTCTAACTCAACCTAACAAAACTCATTAGTTTTATTGGATTATAAGAATTAAAGGATGAAATTACATAAATTAATAGTTGAAATTGTAACTTAGTTTTTTTTTTTTTGCTTTTACGTTGTGAATTGTATAAAAAGTATATTTGATCATTAAAATTATAATTTAAGCTTCGTCAAGCATGGACTTGGTAAAAGCTTACAAAAAAGTCTACAATATTGTGCAATTCTTGATCTAATTTTCTATAGATTTTGGCAAAAAGTTTTTCAAGGTTTCAAAATTTTGTTAAAAATAAAAAGATTTAGGAAACCCATTTGGAGTTTATGAAACGTTTTCTAGATTTTTCGGAAAGTTTCGATTTTCAAAATGTGTCCAAAACGAAAATACTAGCGTCTTTAAAGTTTTCGTGCAACCTATCCAACTAAACACCAAAGTATGAACCAAGAAAAGGATAGTAAATACATTTTTTTTTTTCATAAAGAAAAAAAGAGCAGTAGACTAAACAAAATTCTACTAGATTTGTACAACTTTACATCTGCCAAGTTGCTGCTTTCTTGATCTGATAAGTTATGGTGATCAAATTGTAGGTGGGATCTGGAAAATTTTCAATCTATGATCAAATTCAAACAAATAATATAAGTTTCTTGAAAAATATTAGCATTTAAGCTAGCTGTGGTAGGTCATATAAGTTTTATGAAGAACTATATTAACCTTGATCTTAAGGTATGCTAGATACAAAGTATCCCAAACAGACAAAAATCAAGCTTTCTTAATGCCTTCTCGACACCCGAATATCAAACCATTTAGGACACGTTTAGTACCTAGTACCGCACAACAAGATATCAGCTTCTTTCTTTATTAATCACATTCTATACCGTCGATTCCAGCATACCAAACGTGCAGAACATATACATAGATTAGAATCACCGAGGAGCTAAGGGCGAAGGGTTGTCGTCTGAGCAACCTTCATCAAAGTTTTGAGAGTAGCTTTGAGCATCGTAGTTGTACAGTATAGTGTTGCTTTTCCTCCTCAGAAGTTGATTCCATTCTGATTTGAACCTCCAAATCGACAATCTTACATAATATGATCCACGGCAACAATTTTCCTGCAATCTTTTTTGAACACTAATCAATCTGACTGCGGAACCACTGCACACAATTTTCCTTCTCAATTTCAGTGTTTGAATCTTGAAACTTGCAAGATGTGAAAAGTTCATGGTTGAAGCATCAAGGACCTTAACTGAATAGCTGCAGAAGAAAGAGTTTTGGCAATTTAATACAAGAAAATATGTGGGTGATGCCTTGTAGAAGTGCTAATATTCTATTAGGAAATAACTGATATTTAGACTTTACTTTCACTTCTTAAGTAAGAAATGGTTCACGTGGTCGACTCAAATTTATCTGTAACTAAACTTTGTTGTTGCTCATTGGATGTTACTTTCACATCCGTTATAAGTGGAAAAGCTTTTCGATTCAAGATAATGAACGAATCGGGGTAGTTTTTATTAAAACAAAAAGGGAGAAATTGATTCATGAAGTCCACTCCAATATATCGAGATCAAGAATCTATGTAAATTTTCACATCCATTAGAAGTGGCAAAGTTTCTTTATCCAAGATAAAGCAGGTAAGAGAATAACTGATAGTGGGTGTCATTTTATTTTCAAATGAAATTGTGAAAAATGATTTATGTAGTCGATTTATATTAAAAAAAATTCGGCTTTTATATGTAATTTTCACATCCACTAGAAGATAAATCTGTCAGCACAAATTTGATTCCTGTGGGACGCAATATGGTCCTCTTCTGAAGAGAGGAATGAAACTTATCCTTGCAGTGTGAGAATCATGCTTCACATACAGGGATCTTACTCACACATGTGAGACTCATGCTTAATTTTTATTTTTTTTTAATACATTGTAAGGCTCACCATGTGAGTGACCTGGTGAGCCCTGCGAATTAATCCCCATGTATGGATTGTTAGATCCTAAAAAGATGCCCTACTTTTTCATATCGTCTTTTTTATATATTCTCTATATTTTGCACTCGTCTACAAATATAATCTCTAAAAGCCCTCGAGTCCATCCAATAAAGTTCAATTTTGAGTCCCACATGCACATGTTTGGCGTGTAGTGTTCGAGAAAATTGTAAAGCATGACAATATTTGAAATTTTTCCGAGTTCCATTGATAGTTCAATTCAATATATCAAACATTTTATAGAACAATAAAGAAAATATATCTTCCTTGGGAAGCATGTTGATTCAAAATGGTCCCCGTAAGAGAATCATAGGTACTCAAATAGATTAAAAGCAAAAAGTAAAGGGGTCGGTCACCCAGTCATTGAGCGGGACAAACGGCATAATTCATTCAATTCTCCTAGTGAAAAATTCATTACCCACAAACTACACAAATTCAACATGCTCTACTAAGTGAAGAGCTCGAGAATAGACACAAATACAACACACACATACATAGAAAAACTTTGCTACAATCATATAGGCAATAATCCATATTAATTGAACTAAAAAACATCCATATAAAACAGAAAAGCAGTACACAATCTTACTTTCCACAAAAATGGAAACTTGTTTAGTATACATGTCGCGAAACAAACTATCGGTTTGGATCCTTAAAAGAATCACATACATTTCTAAACAAAACTCGAAAATTGAAAATCCCAGACCACTTTGGACTTCTACGTCTAAACAATGGCATTCGCAGCACTGGCAATCCTAGGCCAAAGATCAGCGCACTCCTTTCCAATTGGGCCAGTGATGGCAGAACCTAAAAACACCAAAGTGACGGAATGAATGATAAGAAACACAGAAAGAACCACAAATTTCAAATGAGTGTGCCCTTGGAAAGAACCAAACACAGCAATTCACCATCTATTTTTAAAAATTGAGCATTACCTTTCATCTCACCCTTGGGATTCACAATAACCCCAGCATTATCTGCAGATCAGATGATAACAATTAGTAGAAAAGTTTAGAATTTCGGAAGCAGTGTAAACATGGGAAAAAAAATATCATCTGATGAAGAGAAGTTCAATTTCTGCCACACATGAAGGGCCAGTTTGGCATGGTTTCCTCGAGAAGCTATCTTAATTTTTGTTCGGGAACTAATTTCTAAAAAAGCTTCCTATTCCAAAAGTGCTCCTATAAAAGGTCTTACGGGTCCAAGCAGATTCTGGGTCTCAAAAGCCATGCCAATGGGCCAAAGAAGACAACTATACTATTTTTTCTTCTAAAATGTCAAAGTTTTTGTAACAGACATCCAGTTCAATACGAAGAAATAAATACGGATAATGCACGTTGACAACTCATGCAGCATCAAGCAAATTAATGCAGAAAAAGTGATTGTGCTATTTGCTTCAGTGTTACCACAGAGTAAAAGCAATATGTCTTTACAATTGTCGTCAGTTTATGTGATAATTTGAAGTATAAATCAACAAAAAATAACTGAAACAATAAAAGTGAGACATTGAAATATTTCAGTATTACAAATGCAAGAACAGAAATAATAATACAATATAACATGTCAACCCAAAACCACAAAAAAGAAATGTGTATATATATTATACCTTCGAAGTACATGAAGACACCGTCCTTTCGGCGCCATGGCTTGCGCTGCCTGACGATGACAGCTGGCATGACCTTCTTACGCAGATCGGGCTTCCCCTTCTTAACGGTGGCCATCACCATATCACCAACGCAAGCAGACGGAAGGCGGTTGAGCCGCCCCTTGATGCCCTTCACCGAAATGATGTACAGATTCTTCGCACCGGTGTTGTCGGCGCAATTCACTGTCGCCGCCACTGGCAGACCCAGCGACATCCTGAACTTGTTCCCCGCCGATCCTCCGCGTCCTATACCAAAAACGATTCAATTGAAATGTTAGTAAAAAAACATTTAATTGGACATAAGATTTGAAAATTGATAGAAGATTGTACCTCTCTTCGACATTTCTGCCGATTTCTCTCTTCTCCAGGTTTTTCTGAGATTGATAAGGAGGAACTAGGGTTTTGATGAGTTCTTTAAGGATGTTTGGAGATGGGCAGTCACAATTAAGGTCTTTTTTTGGGAACTTACGGCCCAGCAGCCCATTTCAAAATGACTTTGGAGAGTTTTTTTCGTACATATATAAAAAAAAATTAAGCACTTATTTCACTTATAAGGTAGCTTCTCTTTCTTAAACTCACACAAACATGCCCTTGATACGTAGTTATGATTTTCAAGAGATGACATACTGCCACCCGTCGAAATACAGTTACTCCGAACAAAATGTCCACCACAAGCTCACTCTTCGGCTCCGCCATCCCCCTCCCACGCGCCACCGCCAAGACTAAGATAAACCCTCGCCACCATCTCCCCACAATCAAAATGTCTAATTCTAATTCAAACCCTATAACCACCCTCACTAAACTCCTCTGGGGCCGGTCCCTGCCACCCCAGCTCCTCGTCTCCACAGTCCGCACCACCTGGTCTGTCGCCTGGCACCTCATGATGTCCCAGCTCGCCCCCTCCGACCCAACTGGCCGATACACCCGCCCCGCCTCCCAATTCAAAACCCCCACAAGCCTAAACCTTACTAATCAAAACCTCCACCTGTACATAGGACTCCCTTGCCCCTGGGCCCACCGGACCCTTATCGTACGAGCCCTTAAAGGGCTCGAAGAATTCGTCCCAGTTTCAATTGCCGCCCCCGGAATTGATGGTTATTGGGAATTCAGGGATAGTACTGTTCCTGTCCACGATAATGATATCCTTGTTCCTAGCTTGGATAAGGCCAATGGATGTAAAACCTTGAAAGAGGTTTATAATTTACGCCGGGGTGGCTATAATGGCCGGTCCTCCGTTCCAATGCTTTGGAATGTGAATAAAAAAGAGGTTGTTTGCAATGAGAGTTATGACATTATTGAGTTGTTCAATTCTAGATTGAATGATGTAGCTCGAAATCCAGGATTGGACCTCTCGCCGCCATCATTAAAGAAGAAAATCGACGAATGGAACCAAATCATATACCCTAGTGTTAATAATGGAGTATATAGGTTGGCGATTTTTACAATCTTTTGCGTGATTTTGTAGTGAATTTTGATCGATGCTCATGTCGTACTTGGATTTGTAGGTGCGGATTTGCGCAGAGTCAAGAAGCATATGATAGCGCAGTAAATGAGTTGTTTAGTACTTTAGAAATGTTAGATGATCATTTGGGGAGTTTTAGGTTTTTGTGTGGAGATACATTGACCCTTGCAGATGTATGTTTGTTCACTACATTGATAAGATTTGATCTTGTGTATAATGTTCTGTTCAAGTGCACCAAGAAGAAGCTGATTGAATATCAAAACCTTCATGGTTATATGCAAGATATATATCAGGTATGCTTATATTTACTACTTAACCATTTACTTCCACTAAGATTGTGTTGGGACGATGGACTTTCATATGAATCACCCATAGGATGTTTTGGATTTCGATTATGATAACATGTTTTGGATGTTTATGTGAGGTTTATCATAGGTATTGGAACATAGATAGCTCATGTAGGCAATACTCTTCTTTTTCGTCATAACAAATAGTACTTGCGAAGATATTACTATGCAGTTTGTAGAGTTTGTAACCGGAGATAGCTCCACGAGTTACACTTCTTTGTGAAATTATGATTTGGGAGTTTGTACTGGGACTTGAAGAGCTTCCGTAGTAGTTAAACTTCGACTTTGTGATGGGACATGGATTACTTGTTATTTTTATATTTTTTTCGTGACAAGTAGTACTCTTGAAGGCATTACTATGCAATCAGTACAATATTTGTGGCATTCGTGAAGAGACTCGTTTTGGTTCCTTCATGATATCTATGTGACTGATGCATATCACATTCTTGAACAGATTCCCAAAGTTGCGACAACTTGTAATTTTGAAGCGATTATGGATGGGTACTACGGAACTCTTTTCCCGTTGAATCCAGGCAGCATTCGACCGGTGATTCCTTCAGGCTCTACACATGAAGTGCTATCAAAGCCTATTAACAGGGAATCCTTGTCATTGGTTGGAAGCAATTGTTGAACTTAAATTTCATAGAAGCAAGATTTATGTACATATAGTTGTTTTCCTAAATGGTTTTCACATGTATTTTTACCATTTTTTCTTGAAAGGTATTACGTCCATACATAAAATCCGCTTTAGATATAAAGCTTCGAGTATCAAGAGATGCTCTTGTTATTCCAAATAAGACGGCTCGGTAACTTCTTCCAAAGCGCGATTTCACAAGAGCCATTGTTTTGAGCATTTGGTCTTAAAAATTGTGGGAGTCGTAGCTTGTTATGTTCAGTCATTTGAAGTGACGAATCTAATTGCACACATCTTATTTCAACACTCATAAGCCTTGTTAGGGGTGGTAATGGCCGAGCCGAGTCAGCTCGATCATTAAACACCCAAGCTTTGCTCAGCTCGAGGTCTGACCCGAGACAGCCATGTGCCTACAGATTCTTTTTATTTTAAGAAAAATTAACGAAGTCCGTCCACAAACAAGCAACTTTTTTAAAAAAGATAAACAAAGCAAGCCAATAAAAAAGGAGCCAGCTCATTGGGGAGCTCGAGTCGCCAACCAGCAGCTCGGCACGTTTGTACCCCTAAGTCTTGTTATTAATTAGAGGCTATAGTTAGTGAATAAAACGGAAGCTCTATAGTTAAGATTTAAAGTCCAACTCTCAAAGTTTCCCCCATCAAATTGGAGACTGGTGTTTCGTGAAGCGTAATTGCATGCAACAGGAAAACAGAAACCAAAAGCGTCCATCAATCCAAAACATGCTTAAATAAATAGAGTTGCAAGTACAAATACTACTGTGCATTGCTCTACGAATTCAACTTGTCTGCCATCCAAGGCCATTATCACACAAGACTTGCAACATTACAAAGGAAAACTAAAATACGATATTGTACTCGATAGAAATATTATAGCTTGGCCATCAAAACGGAGCAGTCTATTATAATTTACTGATTTTCTATCACGGACCAAGGTCGCAATGTCAAAACAGCAACACAGAAACAACAGTCATTGAGCCAAATGCTCATCCCCTAGATGCTGATTTAGATCCTGTGGCACAGAAGGTTCTGATTAGTCAATAACAGCCAGAAATATAAACAAGTTAATCTGAGTGTTATGCACTATATACATCAAACTTTTTGTGATCCTATTTCTGAGATTCATCAACATAATCATGACTTATTAGTAAAATCCGATATAGATGAAAAAAATGAGGTAAATTAGAGCCAAATGTCCTAAAACATTAGAAGTTAGCAGCACAAATGTTTGATTATCCTGCCTGCAATTGGCAATCATATTGCCACAAAGTGCTATTCCATAGTAGTTCAGAAAAGCAATGAGGTCTTTCTACGAGATGTATTAAACTCAACATGTCAAATTTGAAAATGAAACAAGGAGGACCTGTATGTGATTGCTTACTGTAACGCTTAATGTTGCGGCAGAAGTTGCTACCGCATTGACATCGAAATGGCTTAACAAGATGGTCATGGTCATCAAAATCAATACCATAGTCCTGCAATTGATAAACTTGTTTAATGAACAACATATTTGTAGACAAATCAATAACTCTATTCATATCTCTATTGTATTACATCATAAATATGCAACTGAATGTTATATAGCCAGATAAAACAGATATGTATTGAAATAAGCTGAATTAAGCAAGCATAAGAAACACTCAGGAGGTATCTCACTCTTATTTGTGATAGGCATATATACTTGTTTGGAACTGTGAAAAGTAAATTTAAACACAAGGCATGATTCAATGAAATAAATCACTCACCCAAGTGAGTTCTTCCATGGCATTCACCTTTCTCGTAGTAAAGAAGGCCAACTGTGATGAGATACGCAAAGTGAATTAACTCCAGGAAACTTGGGAGAATGGACTAATGTAAAACGCAGAAAAAAGGATGGGAATCATACATGATAATAGTGGTGATCAGGGATCTCCACTTGCACCGGTATCTCTACCAAGTTGGAGTCTCGACATCTAGCATGATGCAGATAAGAGGATTTTAAGCAAAATTGCTATTCAATACAGACTACGAGTCTGATTTTGAAAGAGAAGGAAGTATTCTGAACCATTGTTCTACTATTCTTCAGATGCAGATGCTGAAGAAAGATAAAAGGATAATTTCGTTTCAATGAGAAAGATTACATATTCAAGCAAATACAACTTCATAGGCATGTGTGTGTGTGTGTGTGAAGGGGGGAGGGTAAGAGAAACACAATTATGTAGAACACATATTGTCCAGAGTCCTGATTTACTATAAAGTGCAGAATAGTATAACCTGAAAAGATAAACTAAGAACTTCAGAACCCAATGCTACTCTTTTATGAATGCTTAGCTTAATGGGGTAGGTAAGGATATAGTTGTTTTAAGACTTCCAATAGAAGTATCAATGAATCGACCGAGTGGTGAAAAAGAGCTGACTTGAACTCATAGGGAATAAGGCTTAATCTGTGGTTTCCTTTTCCCGGTAGACTGGATATAATAAGCACATATTGGAGGACAGTGCTTATATTTTAAGGATACAGAATTGAGTTACTAAATTCTATTGCAGCATAAATTAAAAATGAGGGATAACACAAGGGAAAAGAGTAATACAAAAGCGCTAAGCTTGAAACTTTTTACTTACAGGTTTGCTTAAAATTGAAAGACAAATAAAAAAAATTCCTCGTTGAACATGTATGCCTTGGTCAAAATTGAAAATAAGCTTGTTTTTACAACTTAAAAGTAACTAAAAAAAAGTTATCACAACCAAACATGTTCTAAAACATTCAAAGAAAAAAATAAAGAATAATTACTTAAAGTTTAACTTAGTTTTAAACTTAGCGAAACATGATCAATGTCAAACTAACGCACCTGTGATTAATAAACCTTGCTACATTTCCATATTTTGTTGCATCCAAGCATAAAGCCTCCTCATCCTTTCGAACCGCTTTTGAACCCCAATCAGCGTCCAGAAGTACAGGATTTGAATTCCCCTCCCCATTGGGGCTTTTCAAAACACGATCAAAGAGCTCTACGTAGGTTAAAATCTCTCCAACATACTCACAAACAAAGGCACCTTTTGGCAGGTCCTCCAGGGTACGTAGCCCCCAACCTTTTCCTTCAGAGGTCATAAACACCTAGACAGAGGAAAACATAGAGAGGATATTTAAAGATCAATATTAAAGCACTACATATTCAGACTCAATCAGCAAAGAAGTAAGGGATTGAGCTGGAGCCAAGGCACAAAGTCCTACCTGTAGATTACGACTTATGCCCCTTTGCACCACTCGATTGCCACATTGTTTATTGCAGCCGCATCTCCACCAACATTCCGTGATGAACTTCCTTACCAGATGACCTTTGCAAGATTCAATGGTATCCTCAGTTTTTGATCTTTCCACTGGGCATTCCTTGCAGAAAACCTGGCAGTGCTTTTCAGGATCATGGTTCATGGAAATACATTCTTCAAGAAATTCCTCCTTGACAAAGCCATCTGCTGTGTAAGCAAACTCGCCTCTGGTTTCATGTGCACATGCACAAGGTGTGGAATTAGATAGACAATCACCAAAGCAAGCTGAACAACAATTACTATCACCTATACAAGCCAGAGAGAAATTCACACGTGCATTTTGGAAAACTGCACTCTGGGGTATGTAGTAGAAAAGTGGTGGAAACTCATTATTGACTTCATTCACCAGTGTAATTACCACTCTTTCTTGTCCCTTTGCTATGTCAATGACATCATTGAGTGGCCTTGTCATTTCAGGGGTCAACTGATGCTGCTGAACGACCACTAAACTCTGGGAATTTGTATCTTCAAAACCATCCTCAGTGTCATCTTTTTGTTTCTCGCCGTCATCTCCACTATCCATATTGTTAGACTGTGTACCATCATCCTCGCCATGGCAAGGTGGAGGCAGTAGTGGCGTTTGAGGAAAAGCAACCTCCTCATCAAATTGAGGACTGACTGAACCATTCAAAGAACTAAAGCACAAGCCTGTAGCACCTAGAGCATCTGCTGCATAAGATTTTTTAACTAGATCAATTGTTGATGTCACATCTATGCTTTCTGAAATTTCATTAGTGGACTCGGATCCTAAATTCAGAAAGCTATCACACATATCTTTCATAAGATTCATCACTGAAAAGTTCGGATCCAAAATTTTGTAAGACCTGAGACATTTTTCCTCCACGGACTTTAGAACTGAATCAAGACTAGGCATATGGAAGCCAGGCCTTCCAAGAGCCAGGTCGCAGCTCAAAGAAATTCTCACCTCTCCAAAATGCGAGGAAGCAATCTCTAAATTAGAAGAACAGTCACCTGAGATTATAGCCAGATCGCCATTGTTTCTAGTTTTTTCTGAAGCAGAAGTTCCATCAGCTGTAACTTTTTCAATCATGGAGTGTGATTCTAAGGGTTCAGGACCATCATTTTCTCTGACTGTAACATTTCTACTTGATGATTCTCCCTTGTTTGGTGGATCTGCAAATTGTAAACCAGGATTCTCAGAATGACAAATATTAGAATGCAAAATTCCGCAACAGTTTCTTACAAAGTACAATAGATAAATGGAAGAGGTAAACAGTAAACCCAAGTTGAATCATCAGACCTGTCAAAATTATGCGTGATAACTAGGACTATGTACCAATAATATAAGTGGTAGTTCAAATGGGTCGCCTAAGGGCAGAAAACAGGAGCTATTTAGCTAATATATCCGGTTGTGTCCAGAACTGACATATCACTATGACACGACACCAAATGAACAACCAAGTAAAAGTACAGGCAAGAGCTCCAGCATGTGGAAGCCCAAACATGAAAGCTGTCGACATCATTTACCTCCAAGGTAATCTGTAACTGGAAAAAATTTGCCAACTTGAAGGACCCAGCTCATGAGACTTAAGGTCAGTAATAATGAGCCAAAGAGCTAGATGACCATGTGACAATTTACCAACACAACTGCTTCCCTATTACTTAGAGCTACAAGCATGTACTGAGCTTCCAAACCACTTCCACGCACTTTTGAGAATCAAAAAAAAAAAAGCAATCAAAGTGTTGCATAAGAGAGAGATTACCACCAAAGCTCGGCTCAATGGAGTTAATAAGAACTCGAAGCTTCAAAGAGCAGTGTGTGAACATGAAAATAGTAATCAGCCATAAGAGGATACTGCACCTGGATGGATGACTGCAGTAGAAATGTTTAACTGTGGCATGTCATCTGTGTTTGGCTCATCTTTAGGCTTAATTAAAGCCAGACTTGCAGTGGCCTTCTCTTTCAGTGACACAACGTCAGGCATGACCGTTGGCTCTTTAGTGCGGACAGCATCAGACAGCCTCTCAGAAACTGGCCTCTTCCCCCCAGATGGAGTTTGAGGTGTAACCACTCCCTTTCCTTTGTCTCTCAGACGCATTGGATTGGAAGCAGGACTGGTTTCAGTTCTCAATGGGGCCTTTTGCTTACTTTTATCGACACTGCTGGGCTGAGAGGGATCGTATCTTTCTTGGACCATCAAAGCCTTAGGAGAAACAGGTTGCTTTCCTTTATTTTTACCAAGTGACTGGGATGCGACAACTTGCAATGCGTTACCAGCATTGGCCTGAAGTGAGTCCACTGTGCTGGGTGACTTATTCTGATTCAGCAGACGGGTTTCAGGTAGCTCATCCTTTTCTTCTTTAGGTATGATAAGTGGAGTTACCGGTAAGCTAGCAGTAGACGTTGTCTGTGAAGAAGGTTGACCTTCCTGGTATCTTAGTCGCAACCTTTTTAAGGGACGTACAGCCTCCTCATTCACCAGTGCTTCTTCCTCCAAATAGTCCTCTTGCTATTTAAAATAAGTGATACAAAATTGACAAAATATAAGAGAAAACAAAAAGATTAACAATAAAAATATACATAGCATAGCATAGCGAAAATAATCCACAAAATACAGTCATTACAGAAATGGTCACATACTTCATTATTCACAATCTTCTTTGAACGCACTGCTACCTAAAGAGAAGATAAGATAAACAAAATTAACACTACAATACTGAAAATTCAATTTTTACAAAAGAAAAGAACAATAACAGGAAAAAGTTATATATAATAACAACTCAACAAGTGCTTCTTCCTCCAAATAGTCATCTTGCTATTTATAAGAAATGGTATGAGATAGACAAAATATAAGATAAAACGAAAAGATTTAACAACAAAAATATACTAGCATTGAGAAACGAATCAAGAAAGTACAGTCAGTACAGAAAAGGTCACTTACTTCATTATTTACAATCTTCTTCGAAGGCCCTGCTGCCTAAAAGATGAGATAAATCAACAAAGTTAGCACTAGAATGCTGAAAATTCAATTTTTTTATGAAAGATTAGATCAGTAACAGAAAAAAAGTAATCAATGATAACAAGTCAACCAGTGCTTCTTCTTCCAAATAGTCCAGTTGCTATTTAAAAGAAGTGGTACAATAATGACAAAATAAAAGAGAACGAAAAGATTTAACAATAAAAAAATACTAGCATTAAGAAACGAATCAAGAAAGTACAGTCAGTACAGAAAAGGTCACTTACTTCATCATTCACAATCTTCTTTGAAGGCCCTGCTGCCTAAAAGATGAGATAAATCTACAAAGTTAGTACTAGAATGCTGAAGATTCATTTTTTTATGAAAGATTAGGGCAGTAACAGAAAAAAGTAATAATAACAACTCAAAAAGGGGGAGACAGAAATAAACCAAGGCAAAATATCTAATGGGGGACGGCTAAGGGGGATTGCGCCACCAGAAGATACCTCTGCTTCCTCTCTCTCAAATATAGCATCAGCAAGGGCTCTATAACTTTCCTCTTCAATAAGCTCCCAGTTTTTATCGTACAATTTTAGCAGATCTTTCAGTACTGGCTTCACCTTGTCCTCAGAGATCCCCATAACCTTCATAGCACGAAAGGCTTTTGCAACTCTTGGATTTGGCGGCATGTTTGCTCCAAGAGATTTACGTAACAGCTTCTGAATCTTCCAATGTATTTAGAAGGAATTAAAATGCACCTGCTGTAAAGGAATATAAAATATAATTCATATTACAAATCCATGTAAACATGTACTCAAATATAAAATAATAAAAACTGCTTCAAGCAGATAACAGAAACTTATGATGCCCAGTTATCATCACCACATCAAGTATGCAGCAAAGCTTGAAAGCTCATTCGATTCGCCACATTGGCAAACAGATTGACAAGAATAGAGTAGATCCTGATTTTTTGTCCCCGCCTTAAGCAGGGTTGGGATACCAGCTAACTGATTGGCTGTCAATAGAGCACCAACTTTTGACTGGAAACGAAATGCAGCAAAATGTCAAGCTGAGCTACTCACTAGCAGCAGAAAGTCTCATTGTTCACAGCCTCAAAGGCATACTGTGCTAATTATGCACAACATTTGAAAGACTTAACTATATCAAGGCCAGATAATAAACATACATCTCTCAAGACTCCAAAGAATATCACACAGGCTTTGCTTTTTGGATATTTGATAGCTGAAATCAGAAATTTCTGTTTGGAAGAATATCACACATGCATTGCTACATAATAAATAAGAAATTAAGCACGAAACAAAAAGGCCTACCTGATCACAAAACCAAAGGAAGAACTCAATTTGGGATGGTAACAGTGATTTCATACATATAATTAATTGTCAAACAACTTTCAACCTCTGAAAAGAGATCAGAACATATAAAAACACTCACCTTACGCAATAAAACATATTATATCATTCTAAATCTTTGATTCCAACATGAAATACACAATAAGCTTAATTACACATAACAATAGCAAAACCGACAAATGTAAAAAAGGATCAATCAAAACAAATATCATATACAGATATGCACAGCAATTTTATTCGATTACAGGACTTATCACCTGGTTTTTTTTTTTTTTTTCAATTATGATTATAGATTCTACATTTTGGCAAAGAAAAATATTTCCATTTTCCCCATTGCACTAAAATCCAAGGAAACCAAAACTATATAGATAAGAGATTTAGACAACATATATCCTCACTTCTTCTAAAAGAAATAATGATTTGTCATAAATGGAGAGTATGAAGAAAGCCTGAATCCCATTAGCACATTCCGAATTTGTTCCGACGGGTCTTCTTTTTTGTGAAACCGTCCAATGAGTCCATGACATTTAAGCAAAGAAACAGATTGCACAGAGGTGGCATGTTCATGTAACCAGTCATTTTATAACTGACCACATCGTCAGCACAATTTACCATTAGGAAACATGGTTTAAAAACCCCATTTGAAACCCGCCTTAGAGTGACAAGTGCAAAGAATGCCTCAAGGCTTTCATTGTGAGGCATTTTTTTGAAGCGTACAACTCCTGAGTGAGGCACGCGTCTCACAGCACCGCCTCAAGGTTTGTGGCCCACAAACTATTAAAATTCTATTTGACACATTTGAATAGCCCACTGCCAAAACACACGCTAAAAAATTGATTCTCATAATCCCATTTGGGGGATAGTGACTATCCCCACCAACCAAAATGATATTTTCTACTTAGATTTTTCTTTTGTTCATGTACGCTGTTACGCTTCTGCCTCGGTGGTAGATCGTGTGGCATATTTCCGTCTATTATATCTCTCTCACATCCAAAATATCAGGGTGATGCGACCGCTTTCGGAGCTACAGTCTTATGCAGTCGACCGTGGTGTCCAAGTATACTAGGAACATACACAAGAATATAAGAGAGCTGGGATACACTAATAGCTAGGTCTCGCCAGATTCGGAGGTCAACACACTCCCTTTTAAGGCAAAGAAAATGCGAATTTATTCAAAGAACCACAAACCAACATGACTAAATTACAAAAAGAACATATTAATTTTTTCCCCTTTTGGGAATTATTCCTTGATATTTAGGATAGGAAAAAAACATAATTAAAACTTTGGGATGAATTCTAATATTTTTATATTTAAGGAGGCGGGCACTTGATATTAGAGTGGCTAAAAAGTTCACATTTCAATTTACGAAAAGCTCTCATTTTTCATAAATCAAAAAGAGGGGAAATTTTTTCCTTCCTCAACAAGAGCGGATTAGAAGTGAAATAAAGGCAATGTTCTAAGCGATAAATTCTAGAAACCCTAAAAAAAGAAAAATAAAAAATAAAAAAGCCAGTGTAAACATTCGTGGCAATTCATGTGTGAAGAATGAAGTTCCGATCGTCCATACAACACGAAGAAGCTAAAAAATTAAATTTATTGAAAGAATAAAAATTCCTAAAGCAATCTAACGGCGTAAAATGAAAACAGACGACGGAATGTAAATCTGTAACGTTGAAAAAATCGATAGAAAAATAAATTCTTACCAGCATTACCTAGTAGCTTCAGGAAGTGTGCGCCACCATCTTTTTTAGAAAAAATATACAAAACCCTACGGAGAAAGGGGCGATGTTTTCAGATGGAGAAGAGTGACAGAATTCTAGTGAGTGAAGGCCCCTTTTCAGTACTACAATGCTGTAGTGTATGGTAATAAACGAGGTATTGCCCACGCGGGGTGTGGAGCGTGGGAATCGAGATAGAAATCTGCTCTTCTTTTAAGTTATTGTACAGTTCGGTTTGACTCCAATATGTACAATCAATTGTAGATATTGTGGTTCCACTGGATCCATATTTTGATTTTATTTCGGACATGTTTAGGGCAGACTAAAATCGGTAAATTAAAGTCAAACAATCAATATTAATCACATCTTTCATGTGTTTCACATCTTTTCAACCACACCTTCTATCACAATCCACTAAAAAATTAATTTTAATCCCTACCAAACACTCTCTTAATAGAAAATATTTTCTGCTTATCAATAAAACTACTGAAAAGTGCAAGCCATTTTTATTTTCTCTTATATCTAGGACTGGACAAAAATCAATTCAAATCAATCAAATTGATCAACCCAATTCAAACCAACCGGTTTGGATGATTTTTTAGTTCAATTAAGATGGGTTCGGATTAGGAAATCAAATTTTAGGTCGGGTCGGGTTGGGTTGGGTTAAATCCAACTTCAATCGAATTGAGGTCTTTTAAATCACCATTTTTAATGTAATTGAAATTCGTCTAAATTGAAATGGTATCAAACTTTTTTAAAAAAATCAGATTTAATAAAAATGTCTCAACCATTGGCCCATAAAAAATTATCCAACTTGAATTGGACTCAATTCCAAATCAATCAATCCAACCCAAACCAACCCGAGTTTGGTCTGTTTGGATTGGGTTGGGTTTCAATCGTGAATGTGTTGGTTTCGGTTTGAATTTTTGTCAAATCGAACATGTTGTGCTGGATTTGGAATGGGCTCAAAACTAATCAAACTCAACCCACGCCCAGGCCTACTTACATCATACCAAAAAATTCCAGAGGAAATTACACAAAACCAAGATTTTAAAGTTACAATTTCAAATGTCAGATAGAACTTTATTTATACAAAAATCATCTATTAATTCATCTATTTCATCTACCTCTCATTCTAAATCATAATTACCCAAACATAACCCTAATTTTATCTTCTTCCCATCATTTCTCTCTCTCTCTCTTTCCCGCCTACTCTCTCTCTTCTCTCTCTCATACAACACACCATGAAGGCACCGTCGATGCGTCGCTCACGACGTCGCCGCCACAGCAGCGTCCCTTTGAAAGCTAGTCGCAGCCACAACATCGTCTCATCGCCTCACAGGGAGGAGTCGCTTGACACTGTTGCGAAGTAATGATAGCGTCATCTGCGCACATCGTCGTTGCAACAACGATGTTGCCACTGGTGGTGTTTGCGTTTGGGAAGTGATGTGGTTGCTGTGGTGGGTTGTGTGTGGTTGACTTAGCGGTGATGGCGACGCCGAAGTTAGTTCCCAGCGGCATATTTGGGAATTTTTTTGGTGAGAGTTGTAGTTTTGGAGTGGTAGGCTGGTGGTGGTGTTGGTTATAGTGTTGAGATAATGGTTTTGTTGCAGCCTGCAGGTGGTGTGGTAGGAATTTTTTTGTTTGTTGCGTTTGTTGTTGTTGGTGGTGGTGGTGTCGAGGTCAGTGGTGGTTGCTAGTTGTGGTCGTGGGGTAGTCATCGAAGTGTCAGTGGTGCTGCAGCTGTTGTTGTGGATGTGATTTGTTGGTGTTTTTTGTGCGATGGTGGCAACGATTTTGTTGGATATTGGTGGTGGTGGAGGTGGTTGTGGTGGTGATTTTGAAGTGGAAAATGGTAGTTGTTGGAAGTGGTGGTGCCTGCTGGGTTGGGTTAGGGAGTGGAATTAAGAAGGATTGTGATCAATTACTAAAGATTGTGACCATTAATTTGTGTATTCTGTGACTAAAAATTAACATCTGACCGATAAATTGTCACCAATAAATAATATGTGACTTAAAAATTTGAATTGTAACTTATGAAATTTGTAATTTGTGATCAATAAATAAAATGTGATTTATAACTTTTTTGATTTGTGACTGAAAAATGAATTTGTAACCAAATTGTATAAAATTGCAACCAAGTTGTGACGTATAAATTTTTTTATTTGTGACCGATAAACAAATCGTGACTTATAAAATTTCTGAATTGTGACTGTAAAATAATTTGTGAACTATAAAATTTTCGATTTGTGACCTAAAATAATTTGTGACTTATAAATTTTCTATTTTGTGACCGATGAACACATTGTGATATATAAATTTTTTGAATTGTTAACGTAAAATAATTTGTGACGTTTCATTTTTTTATCTGTGACCGATGAACAAATTGTGACCTATAAAATTTTTGAATTATAACCGTAAAATAATTTGTAACGTGTAAAATTTGTGATTTGTGACCAATTATATAGAATTTGTGATCAAATTATAAGGAATTGTGACATTAATATATTTAATTAATAAAATATATGTTTAATTCATTTATTTATAAATAAAATTTAAAAAAATATGAGATTTGAAATTTTAAACCTTAAAAAATCTTA